TGCACATTCTTCTAGTTGCTGTATGTGGGACGCGGCCTCAGCATGGCCGGAGAAGCAGTGCATCGGTGCGCGCCCGGGATCTGAACCCAGGCTGCCAGCATCGGAGCACACGCACTTAACCGCTAAGCCAGGGGGCCGGCCCTCAGCCATTCTTAATTTACGAGGCCCCAGCTCACATCATATCAAGTATAGTGGAAGCTGTGGTGTGTTGTCCAAATCCCTCTAAAGAATAAGGCACTCACTCCCCCAAGCTTCTCAGAGTGTTGGATGCTGCTGGGTCACAGCTGAGACCCTCTTCCAGGCATTGCTCTCAGTGACAGAGAGCTTCTTACCCAAGCATACACTCCCTCCTGGGAAGCAGCTCACATCTCAGGATATAGGGAAACAAACTCACGGCTCCCTTCCCCAATTTGGCAGCTGCATCACAGTTCAACTTCTCCCTTTGTCCAATCTTGTCCCCTCGCTGTCTTATAGGTGGAACAAAGGAATAAAAAACAGAATGGGAAAAATAGAAAACAAATAACAACATGGTAGGCTTAAGTCCAACCAAATCAATAATTACATTAAATGTAAATGGCCTGAAAGCTCTAACTACATGTTGTTCTTACCTCACCCACCCTCTCCATTTCCACTCTCTCATTATACCAGTTCAATTTCTTATCATCTCTATTTTAATGATAGAGAGGCTTCCTAAAATGGCCTTCCTGCCTCAACTTCCTCACATGCCACACCAGCACAAGATAAATCTTTCTAAAACCCAAACCTTGTCACAGACTCTGCTCATACAATCTTCCTTATCCCTTTCCCACCTAGATGTGAGGTTACAGATCTTTTATCTATAATAGAGGGTCTGGAGTTGAATATTGGAACCTGAGGAAATGTCCCTACTGTCCTCCCTGGAAACAGCTTACACCATTTTAGAGAAATTTTGCAGACCATTTTCCTTGGACTAGATTTCTGAGTCTCTAGTATAGTTCTTTGGGCATCTATATTTGGTTTGTGAGGTTTCTTTGGTTCTTATCTGCTTTGCCCTAAATACTGTAGTCAGTTTCTTCTTTGCTCCACAGTTTAGAGGCCAAGGGCCAGCCAAGCATTAATCCCAGCTCAGCCCAACCCAACACAGGCCAGCCCAGCCCAGTTAAGAATCCCATCCTTCCTTCACATCAAGTCCCATAGCTCCTTCTTCAGCCATAGGTTAGAGCTGCACTAAAACTTCAGAAATACCCTGGACATGTCTTTCTCTGTCATTTGTTTGCATTGTTATGCTCCATCTCCCTTCTTTCTGAAATACCCTAACCATTTCTCTGCTTTAGGAACTCTTTCTCATTCACTAAGACTTGGCCCAAATATCACACGTACTGTTTTCCAAGCGGACTTAGCCTGCCTCCTCTTCCTCAGTGTCCCATGCTGCTTTGAACGAGCACAGATCACATTAAATTGTAAGTATTGTCTGCCTGCTCCAACCGTCAAACTGTGACACACAAGATTTTGTTTATCATTGTATCCTCTCTACACTTAGAACTAATGCTGATATTTAAAAGATTTTCACTAAGTGAAACTTGACTAAATATACAGTTTGTTTGTTACAACCTAGAACAAGAAACTCATCAAAAAAAGCATGGAGAGTTATATCCATTAACTGGTTAGAAACAACTGTAGGATTGCAATAAAGTTGCACTGGATTCACTCATTTAATTCAGCTAGAGTTTACTAATAACTTATATGGAGTTAGAGCTCAAGAGTATGTGGATTGAACTTATGGTTAATAATACTAAATAGGTAGAGAGAGAGTCATGTTTAGAAGTCCTGCACGCAAGGTGTGTGAAGTCTGAACTTAATTTAACTGTTAGGCTTGTTTGTTCAGGAGCAAAACTGATAATAATCTTTATTCACCAGAAGTTTTGCAGAGCTAAGGCAAATTATAGCACAAACAAGATTGTGGGAAGTGCTTAAAACACTTCAATGACCAAATTCGAGCACTTTATAAGTACCCAATTATACACAGAAAGTTGATACCCTGATTACAAATCATACTTACTGTGCTATAAAAAAAGTTCCCAAAGGCTTCTATTCAACAATAGTTTATTAATTAATTCAAGTGAACATATGCATCAAAACAACAGAATATTAGAAAGTTAGGCCAGTGTGAGACCATCTGCAATTTGTAGAATGGTATTCTTTAAAAATAATAATAATAAATTAGGTTTTGATAATGTCCTGGATCATGAATATATTCCAAATGAATGGCCATAATGTCTCTTATTTAGGTAAATTTACCTACTAAATTGAACTATACATTTCAATAACTACTGAAGTCTTTTCAAGAATGATAACTGGAAGAAAAAATCATAATCTACAGCAGAACTGGATTTAATTAAAAGACTATGCTCGTTACATTTCAATTTAGGCAGGCCAATACATTGGGTCAGACCATCATCTGTTTTCTAATACAATCTTGGCTTGTTGAAGTCTTGTTTGAATTTTCTGGGAAAAATTCACTGTGGAAACTAATTATGACATCCTGGGAATAAGCAGCCGGCTCTCATCTCAAAACCTCACACACAATTTGCAATCATCTTCCAAGTGCTGCTGTCCCTGGAGATGCTCTTACTTTCCGGTCCACTTTTTGTGTGTGGTAGAGAATTTATAGAGTGACTTTCTCTATCAGACTGATCCCTTTGTTTGTATTCAGGAGGGATTCACCAGATTTTTATTCTACTCTACACACTCAATCCTATGTGGCATTTTTCTACTTTGAAAGTTGCTGAATTGGGGAAATGAGTGCATTAATGGTTAGATATTCTTCTTACATTGTGAGAGAAAACATGCTTTATAAATCACGCTTTACTTCTGATTTATCTTTATAGCATCGCTCAGTGGCCCTTATCATGAAATAAAATTCACAGAGCCACGTGCTGGGCTTACAAAACAGGAATTCAAGGGCAGAAGAAAGTAATTTTCCCCATTTCATGAAGAAATTTATATTCAACCCAAGGAAAGAACCCAAGAAACAGAGTTCAAAATCTCAGATTCCTACTATTTTATAATACTTCTTATTCCTCAATATGTATAAGTCTCATATTTAGAATCCCAATCTACAACTATGCATCGAAGATTGACTACTTACAGGTTTTTGTGCTACTCCCTATGACCTGGAGAAGACGCAAATGCAAAATAAACAATCCCTCCCCTCAAAAATTTTAAAAATTGTAGTAGAGAGATAAACTAATGCTAATATAAATTAAAGCATAATAAGGGCATGAGACTAGCTTAAAGTGCTGTGAGATCAAGAAGAAGGAAATGTAAGTGACAGAGAGAGTCAAAGACGGCTTTAGACAGGTTGAGACACTTGAACTGGATTTTAAGGGAAAGGAAGAATTTACAAATTCACAAAAGAGGCAGACCGTCAATTCAGGCTGCCAGAAAACTGTGAGTAAAGCACCAAAGTGGGAAATGAAAAATGTAGTCATATACGGAGGGTGCAGAGTGTGATGTAGGAGTCAGAGAGGTAACTTCAGATCATGTTTGTGAAGGACTTTAAGTGTCATTCTAAGAAATTGGACTTTAGTCTTTGGGAAATCAGAGCCCCTTAAAGATCATGTTGAGGGTTTAGAAAGATCCCTCTAGAACAGAGTAACGTGTAGAAGAATAACAGGAAAGAGGAAAGGAGAAAAAAATGAAGGCAAGGAAAACAGTTAAGTGCTTTTCGTTTTAGTCCAGGCAAAGATAAAGGGCACTTGCATAGTACTGGAAGTTCTAGCCAGAGAAATTAGGCAAGAAAAAGAAATAAAAGGCAACCAAATAGGAAAAGAAAAAATCATCTCTGTTTGCAGATTATGTGATCTTACATGTAGAAAACCCTAAAGATTCCACACAAAAAAATTGTTTGTACTAATAAACTATTTCAGCAAAGTGGCAGGACACAAAAATCAGTTGCATTCCTGTACAACAACAATGAACAATCTGAAAATTGTTCATTTCCTGAAAAAGGAAATTATAAAAAAATTCCATTTACAATTCCATCTAAAATAATAAAATACTTAGGAATAAAATTAACCAAGGAGGCAAAAGATGCATACAATGAAAACTACAAAACATTGCTAAAAGAAATTAAAGAAATTGCAAATAAATGGAAACATATCCCATGTTCATGGGTTGGAAGACTTAATATTGTTAAAATGTCAATACTACCCAAAGCAATCTACAGATGCAATGCAATCCCTATCAAAATCCCAATGACGTTTTTTGCAGAAATAGAAAAACCCATCCTAAAGTTCATATGGAATCTCAAGTGACCCTGCATAGCCAAAACAATCTTGAAAAAGAAGAATAAAACTGGAGGACTCACATTTCTGATTTCAAAACTTACTAAAAAGATGCAGTATTCAAAACAGTGTGGTATTGGCATAAAGACAGACATATGGACCAATGCAATAGAATAGAGAGCCCAGAAATAAACCCTTGTGTATAGTCATATGACTTTTGACAAGGTTGTCAAGAGCATTCAGTGGGAAAGGCCAGTCTTTTCAACAAATGGTGCTGGGAAAACTGAACATCCATATGCAAAAGAATGAAGTTGGACCCTTACCAAACATCATATACAAAAATTAACTCAAAATGTATCAAATTCCTAAACGTAAGACCTAAAACAATAAAACTCTTAGAAGAAAATATAGGACAAAATCTTCACAATATTAGATTTGGCAATGATTCCTTGGATATGACATCAAAGGCATAAGCAACAAAAGAAAAAATAGACAAATTGGGCCTCATGAATATTTAAAAACCTGTGCATCAAAAGACACTATCAACAAAGTAAAAAGGCAACCCACAGAATGAGACAAAATATGTGCAATCATATATATGATAAAGGATTAACATCCCGAGTATATAGATAAATTCTAAAATAAAAAATAAAACTCCTAAAAAAGAAAACAAACCACCCAATTCAAAAATAAACGAAGGACTTGAGTAAGCATTTCTCCAAAAAAGATATACAAATGGCCATAAGAACATGAAAAGATGATCAACGTCACTAATCATTAGGGAAATGCAAATCAAAACTATAATGTGGTACTACCTCACACCCGTCAGGATGATTACTATTGAAAAAACAGAAAAGGTGTTTTGGCAAGGATGTAGAGAAATTGGGACCCCTAGTGCACTATTGATGGAATGTAAAATGATAACAGCTGCTATGGAAAACAGTATTGCGATTCCTCAAAAATTAAAAATAGAATTACTATATGATCCAGCAATTCCACTTTGGGAATATACCGAAAAGAATTGAAAGCAAGGTCTCAAAGAATATTTGTACACCCATGTTCATAGCAGGATTATTCACAATAGCTAAAACATGGAAGCAATCCAAGTGCCCATTGAAGGATGAATAGATAAGCAAAATGTAGTGTATACATACAATGGAATATTATTCAGCCTTAGAAAAGAAGGAAATTCCATATGCTACAAAGTGGATGGACCTTGAGGATATTATGCTCAGTGAAATAAGTCAGTCACAAAAAGACAAATATTGTATGATTCCACTTATATAAGGTTCATAGGGTAGTAAATATCATAGAAACAGAAAGCAGAATGGTGGTTGCCAGGAGTTGCGGGGGAGGGAGAAATGGAGAGTTATTGTTTAACGGGTATAGAGTCTCAGTTTTACAAGATGAAAAGTGTTATGGAGATGGATAGTGGTGATGGTTGCACAACATTATGAATATATTTAATACCACAGCACTGTACACTTAAAAATGGTTAAGATGACAAATTTAATGTTATGTGTATTTTTCCACAATAAAAAATTTTTTTAAGAAAAGATAAAGAGCGCTTCAACCAACGTATTGGCTGTAAGGATAAAGAAGAAGTAATTAATGTGAGAAATTTTTCAATGACAAAATTCAAAGTTCTCAGTTAGGGGAAAGTATGGCTTAATGATTAGGCAGTCAAGCCATACTCTTCACCAGCTGAGACCTTTGGAATCTTGGTTCTAATCCCAGCTCTGCTATTCACTAGCTGCATAGTCTTAGAAAAGTTTCTTGTCTTAGAAGTGCATCTCCAGAATTCTGCTAAAATTTGGTATTAGGACGTACTCCATGGGAGGATATTCACTCCTTATGAACATCCTTTGTAAAAATGGAGGCAACTTCTTTTTGAGGTAAAAAAAAAGAAAAAATGAGGATTATGATCAAGTAAAATCCCTCTAAAGTGGGTATATTGAAAAGGACTTTGCATATATTGGATAATAATCAGTGGGGTGTTTTCATAATATGAAGCATTAATTTTTATCTTTTGAGAATATAAAATGCAAGACTGTGTATAATCTAGCATAGAAAAACATATACTGACTATACTGATATCCTTGTGTATTAGTTCACACAGGATAATATCTCAATTTGAATGCAATGTTGTATAACATGCTTAATAATTAAATGATAAAATATCTCAGGTATTTTCAACCCAAATATCGACACGAGATATATCTACAATCATTAAAATTCCAAATTATATAAATGATTCATAGTTGTAATAATAATTCTTGCTTTCTTTTATAGCATTAAATATTTATTTTAGCAAGACTTTATGGTATAAGGGAAAGATATAACTTTATTTTCTTCAAAATACAGAGCTATCTCAATGTCACTTTGAGTATCATATCCCTACTGCTTTTAAATGCTAGCTTTATCACGAAGTAAATTATTTTATATGTTTGAATATGAATAACATTGGGTTTTAAATGAAACTGGGGAAAGGTTATTTAATCATTTTGGATAGACATTCCTTTGGTTGACCACAAATAGGTAATTTACTACAGTCTTATTTGCGCCTGGCAGTTCAAAAAATTTCCATCAACAGGCACATTGGTCTGAAAATCTACAGATTCACTCAGAGATGACGTATCTGTGCTCCATGTATACAAACATTTTGTTATAAACAAGAATCATCTAAATTTGAAAGTTATTATGGCTTTCAGAGCATATTATGCTAACTATAGCAATATTTTATCAGCAGTCAAAGCACAAGAATCTGAAAAAAAAGGAAGAGACATATTCAATCTTGTTGTTTCTTAATCTCATAAAATGCAGTTATAAAATGACCTAAAGATGTAATTATTAATAAATTGTTTACACTTGTTTGGTAAAAGAACTGGAAAAAAGAATTTCACATGCTCAGCTCACCAAGATGATTTTTACTGTTATCTGAAAAAATTGTATAGGTTTTCCTCTTGGCTTTTTTTAGGCTCAGTTCAATTTTTAATAACCCTAGAGATCTTCATGTGAAAGAGGCTAAAAGGTAAAAGGAGGACTTCAGATGTCCCTCAAATAGAAAAGTTAAAAAAAAAAAAATCCATAAATTAGAAATCTAATATGCACCTGGATATTGCTCCACTTTTTTTTGTTGTTTTCATACCTAAGCTAGAGCAATAATTGGTTATATTGCAATTTTCCTTTTATATGGATGATCTCCTGGCATTAACTATGTAAATGCCACTGGATGTTAGTGAATGTGAACTCTCCATTAAAATGCCCGATATTGGTTCTCAAAGGATTGTGAGGAAAATTTTCTTCTAAAAAAATCATAGCAACGTATATGTTTATTATTAGAATTACTAGAGAATGATATGTTAAGCCCTTGAATTACACATTTTTCTAATAATCTGAAATCTGATGTTTTCTTTTAGATTTTTATTATTTTTAAATCATCCCAAAGAAAAGGTGGAGCTTTCTACAAAATTATTTCCCAAGCAGTTTTTATTAGAAAGTTTTCAAAAAACAATAAATAAATAGAAGCACATAGCACATTGCCCTTATATTCCCAAATCAAAAATTTAAAGAGAAGAGATTAGAAATCGGGGATTGTCAATGAGTCAGTAATTGTTTAAGTATTTGGCTAAAGTCGGGTAAAGAAAGACCACAGAAATCTATATGCTGGTGGAAATGAAAATATAAATACAACAAAGTGAAAAGTGTCCACAAGTCAAAAGCAAATGAGTCTAAGTCTAGCCATGGCAATCCTATTTATCACAGACATTTAATTATCTCTGATAGCGTATAATGATGGTGTTAGAAAGAGGCTAGATTACCATGAGGGTTTCTTCTGTGTAAGAGTAAGGCTAACACAAGGGAGTTCTAAAAATAACTCTGTAATGTTTTATATGTATTTGAGATTCTTTTAGTTTCTTTTCTTCAGGTAACGTAATAGTGCCCCCCTCTAAAATGAAAGACTTTTAGAATGATGTTTATTTATTGAACAGCTACTGTGAATACCTTCTGTGAGCCTGTCCAGTTGTTAGATACTCCACATGTGTTAAGAAGAACTCTGTAAAGTGTATAGAAATCCAATTACCCCAAGCGAAAGAGAAGACTTTATGAGCTGACAGGAAAAGATAAGGATATCAGAAGGGGCAGGGTTAGATCTAGATCTAGTCTCAGGGACAGCCAAATCCAGGGTATTGAACCCTTTAGGAATTCCCATCTCTTCTCTCTGCTTCTTCTATCCGTTGGCTTCATT